TTTTGAAATGCAAGCGTATGTATGTAAATTTATGCATACAAATAGCTAATATGTATATCTACTTGAACTATAAATATGTACTATATATGTATGAACATTATAAATTGTACCTATCTTTTGATACCAAAACAAATTACAAATTAAACGACGATAAACAAACAAACAAACAAAAAATTAAGAAACAACAACAAGGAAAACACGTACATACAGATAACACCATACAAACATATGTACATACATATGATAACAGTGCAAAAATACATATACACATATACATACATATGAACAGCAAATGCTGGAAAACCTTATCGCATGCTGTATTGAAGAAAGAAAAAGTCATTTGTTTGAAAAATACTACATATTTATCAATTTTAGAATCAATTAATTTACAATTTCGCGACTCCACTGTCACGCACACATTTCCACGCTATCTACATATGTACATGTATTTGTATACTACAAAACGAGAAATGTCGGTAATAAGCCAAAATATTGGAAACTTAAAAATTGAGAAAGCAATTCATTCATCCCTTGGAAAAGTTTTTGGAGTTCTACTCATTTCTTTTTTTTTTTTTTGAAATATCTTCACAAATCTAATAAACGTGCATACAATTTGCGAGTACATAACCTAACATATTAGAGTCAAAACATACCATTACATAACATAGGAGTATGTATTCAAAAAATATCTAAAAAATATTAAAAATCATTAATAATTAAATATTATCAAAATTATATTATACACTAGAGCATATACATTTATAAAATTATACATACATTCATAACGCGATATATTATTATACTAGATATTTATATATACATACATACATACATACATATAAATACCTAACTTAACATATTCACATTACATATATAAATATATCATATGATAGCAAGAAATTAGTACATATATACAAATACATAATTAAATACATACTTATGTAATTAGATAAACGAAAATGTGTCATTCAAAACTGTCTTCAACTGATAATGGTTATAAATCTACATACACACATACATACATACATACTAACATACTAGCTATGGCAAGGAGACTATGTAGAATCATACACTTAAATATATGTACGTTAATACAATAAAACAAAATACATACATAAATACTAACGAAATAAAAAAAGACGTTAAATTAAATATTGAAAAATTATATATTTTTGATGTTTTTAACGGAAAAAAGTAAGTACTTTTAGTGGCCGATATCCCTGCACTCCCACGAAGCAATGTCAGTTGCTTATTATTTACTAGAAAATACAAAAGCTGCAAGCGTTGAAAAGCAAAAATGGTTCATAAAGTAAAATTTCTTAGTTTGGAATTTAAAATACGATTTGGACTTGCATGAAAAACCCGTCGGAGAAAAAGGCACCTAAGAGTTTTCTTTGGTTGTAAATTCTGTCATCGAAGAATTTTCAGAGAGGTTTTCTAAATTAAAGGAGTTATTGGAAAAACTCAAATTTATTATCTATTCTGAGGTGACTTCACTTGATAAACTGAACTTGTCTAAATTCGATTGGTTGGAAATCGAAAATTTTGAAATGCTGCTGATTGAGTTCCAGTGTAATTCAATATGGACTAAAAACTTTGTCGAAACAAGGAACGACTTGGAATCAATAGAATTAGATATACCATAGCCAATTTGGTCGAAAATGCTAATACTAAAATTCTAGAAACTTCGAATTCAATTCTTTTAAAAATTTTTATACGATTTATAGCTGAAATGCAATGCCGGCGAACGGCGAGCTCACCACAGCGAAATTCGCGCTGTCAAAATTAGAACACCCACAAGTATATGAAATTGAACACGGGAAACCCGAAATCCGAAGTTCGCTCGGCGGCGTTTCATGGCGATAGATTTATTTCTATCGCGCTGCTCTGCGATGACAGCTTTACGTGCCAAAGGTGGCCGTATTTCTTTTTTGCTTTCAAAGTCTTAGAGAAAACAAAATAAACATGAATTATTTTGGTTGCTTGAAACATATAGTTTTGGATTCGTTAAATCTGGCTTGAAATAAAATAATTTAAACTAATCTCTCTTTGTTTTACATTTATATTTGTTATCATTTCCTCATTTCTAAAAAAGGTATATTTTTTCTAAATATGGTCACCCAAATTATACAAGTGACCAAATGGTATCAACTGTTTTCGCTACCGCTCTAATTCTGTTTAAGTAGGCGAAATAGCTAGGCAAACGGTGAACGACAGCATCGCACGATTCGGCGATGTGTGCCGTTCGCCGATATTGTATTACAAGCATTATGTATCAATTAATGTCTCCAAGAACGGCGATAAGTCATGATTTATTGTTGGCACTTAAATATTACTATTTAAATAATAGCACGTATATGTATAAACTTTTGCTGGCCATGCTCTGGGAATATTTCTGCATCACAAAGCAAATTTTTTATGGCAGTATGTTGGAAGTATGTATTTTGAATCACAATTAAAACATAAAATAAATGAGTAAAAAATTTCACACTTACTGAAGTTCACTGAACATAACAAGAATATCTACATTGTTAAAATAACACTCGAGTATGTAAAACCTACTGTCTTGGGAGTGAGAATACACCATCCCCTGTACCAGGCCGATTTATCTATACATTTTGTTTTATCTACTTTTTTTACTTTCAGTATTATTTCAAGTTATTTACATTTTAATATTAGATAGTTAAAATTTTTGGAGTTTAAGTTTACTAAAATGTCTACAACTAAAATAACATTTAAAAAAATAATAAAATCAATAATTGAATAAATTTAAAAATATAAAACGAAAATTCTACTGGCTGTCGGGCTGGAACCCATAACCTCGTGACTCGTCAATCCGCACTACTGCCATCTGTCAGGGTACAATTTTAATCAGGTCAACTGCGCCATTAAGTCAGATCAAAGTTGCCACCTATATATGCTTTTACTGACATCATACCTGTTGCTGGCAGGACTAGATTTGCACGTTTGGATAAATGGTTTGCAAACCTTCAGCTCTTAGCCATTCCAATAAACTAAAAGAACTCTTCCGATCCTCATTTTTTATACTGCACCGGGCACGAAAGTGGAGACATTCTTCTGAAAAATTTTATTCTAGGTTAGGTAAGGTTGGGAAGACGCGTACGAATGACTCGTATTTCCACTCAGAGGCAGATTTGCCTATTGTGAATGCCCTCTGTGAGTGCCAGGAGGGGCATATCCTTCTAACCGAGGTTAATCGATAATCTCAGTAAAAGGCTGTCAAACCCTTTACTATCCCTGAAGAAACTGTGGATGTTCGATATTTTCACCTCCGCTATCCCAAATGCTTGAGACGCCTTTAGTAGAGAGCTGGGCATTGGCATAAAAAGTGGTGAATCGATTCCTGGACACCCTCATCCCGACAACTTATGCAGAGGAAACTAGCTGGTATACGCCAAGTAATTGAGCATTGGTGCTATAGCACAGTGCCCTATGATGATACCGGTAAGAGCCCTAACTGCAGATTTGTTTAGTGTCAATAGTTCAGAGATCTTGAGACCTCACAGTCGTTCCGATTGATCAAAGGTCATTGTGATGTGTTCTTCAATCCCCCTTAGCAGAAAAGAAATCGGGGCAGTAGGGAGTTGTCCGCTTCGTTAATTTGTATTTCCGAGCCGTGTCTAGCCATCTCATCGGCTATTTCGTTCCCTTCTATGCATATTGCTATATCTGCTATAACACAGCAGAAAGTAGTTTTAACGTGACTCAGCGAAGCTAGCGGGGCGCGACATTTCCGAACTGCTTTCGACTTTACCACCCTGGAGCCTTATGTTTTCAATACCGCCTGGCTGTCAACGAATATAGTGATGTTCCCTGACAGATACTTACTATCCCACTTGAGACAAGCCGCCCTCTCTATGGCAAGTATATCTGCCTGAAAGATACTGCAGTTATCGGACAGGTGGTATGATTACCTAATTAGAGTACAGACCCGAGCCGAATCCTTTTTCCATCTTTTCCACCTGCAATCTTTCCGGGTTGGAATTGCCTAAAAACTAAAGTCCCGGGATAACGTGAGGTAATTAGTTTCGACATCTAAGTCGGCCTTGATACCGATACGCCGTCCACTATTAATTACCTTCAATACCGCTTCGTGCCCGTAGTTAGTATGCTCCTACAATTTTAATTCCCTTAGTCTAAGGGCCCCTTTTGCGACTTCCCCCGTTACAAATACTTGTCTTGGCTCCAGGTAAAAGATCGTGATCAGCCTTTCTTGTGGCGCGCTTCTCACGGCGCTTGATACACCGAAACATCCGAGTTTCCAATTATTCTCAGGTTTCTATTTTTAGCCAGTGCTTTCCACCAGACCAGCGATCCATAGGTTAAAATCTGTCAGATGACCTTGGTGTATATACCGTGAACAATAGACGTTGACAGCCCCCAGTTTTAGTACGCTGCTGGGCCCTTCTTTCTCTTTCCTCTACACTGTGCCTCCACGTAAGTTTGGTGTCAAGGATAATACCTAAGAATTTCGGTTCGGAGGGAAGCTTAAGATTAGCCCCATCCGGCTTTGTCAAAGGAAATTTCGTTTTTTTTTCCTTGTGAACAAGACAAATTCGGTTTTAGAAGGGTTAACTCCTAGACCATTTCGTTTTGCACTTACTAATTGTTGGCTAGAATTTGCCGGAAATTAGTATAGCCAATTCATCAGCGTAGGTAACTATCTTCGTTCTCCTAACTTTAAAGCTTTCTTACGGTTCATTTAGTACCAAGATCCACAGCAGGGGTGATAAGACCCCTCCCTGCGGAGTTCCCCTTGTATACTTAGTCTGGAGAAAAAATACTTGTACCACACATATACATACATACCTTTTAAGGGTTAAGCGTCGCTATATTGTGTTGACACGTATTTACTTTGGTATATTCAGTATTTTTTTCATTTTGGTCACCAGCCAAATATATCAGTAGGCTTTTTCCAAGCTAAAATCAAATCGGCTTTTGAATGCCCCAATCCCACCCAAATTAAAACCAAGCAATTGTCCTCCTATTATATACACAATGTACCTGTTTTATTTAAATATTTGTATGCATGTATGTATAAAAAATTAAGTTCGTAAAAAATCTTAAAACTTAGTGCTTAGAAAACAACAACACACACGCTTTCGAATCTATTCTAATAATGTAATCATTATGCTAACATTGTAATCGTATTTGTTTGTGATTGGAAATACATAAGAGAGCAAAAAGGAGAAAGAGAGAGAGAGAGATATATATAGTAAAGGACATAACTGTATGTGTAATTCTCGTACAAATGTACGTCCTTCCATCGATACTCAAATTAAAAATATGTATTTATTTATAAGTAATATACTGAATGAACCGTTAATGGCGATTATGATTGCGATTATGATATGGAATATTTAATATTACTTTTTTTGTGTGTGTGCCAGAGTAATAATTAAATGCCATGCCATAATAAAAGCAATTAAACGGATATGCAAAAATACAAATACTTATATATTCAAATATATATATATGTGAGTATGTATGTATGTTTATATGAATTAACAAAGATAAGAGGTAGCTGATAGATGCAAAGCGGAAAAATAACGTATACAAAATAATGTGTAATATTAGCAAAATCATTTCAAAGTAAATAGTCGCCTTGGACGATATCCAAAATGCTTTCAATGCCTGCCATTCGTCGAACTTAGTGCGGATAATAGTTACCGTAATGCGGATCTGTAGCGAGCGGATAGCTGGCATAGGCAGAGCTATGTGCCAAAGCTGGATAGGCTGCAGCAAAATGTGGGCCAGTATGTGCAATGGGTAGGGGAGCGGGTGCTGGTGCTGGTACTGGTGCTGGGACTGGAATGTGGGCTGGAGTGATTGCTATTGGATAGGAAATGGCTGGTGCCTTCACGGCTACTGCTGGGCCGATGGGTGCGGGTGCTATGGGAGCTGGAGCAGGGGCGTGGGCGACTTTGTAAGCAATGGGTTCCTTACGCACAACGGCATTGAAGCCATTATGCGGATCAGCGGTATAGTCTACAGTGCGCTTGGTGCCATCCGGATCAACAAGTGAATAGCTGCCC